TGTGTTCAGCAAAACAGCTGTGATAACAATCCGGTCAATTTTTTCATTATATTAAAGGGGAAGTTAAGGCAAAAATTAAAATTTCACCAGTTGTAGTCTTTGGGGTGCTGAGTCGAATGGTCTTGGTCCGAGAAAGCTGAGACGCTCCCTTCCTACTTGAATCCCAATCGAACTCGCGCACTTCCACCGAAACTGGGTGACTGCGCCCTACGAGATGGGGATTTGTATGCAAAATGTCACTAAAAGCGCCATTTCGTTCTTATAAAAGCACGGATGACCGCGATTGGCCCATATGTTGTAGTCTTTTGGACGCTGAGTCGACTGGTTTTGGTCCGAAAAGGCTGCGATGCAGCGTTCGCCCCTAATTCCCAATCGAACATGGTTGAACAAGCGGTCACGTGCTCCTGCGTACACCAGTCACCTGGTCACCGTGCCTGCAGGGTACAACTTACAGCCTGTTTTGACCTTTTTTGGGTGCAGTCCTGTCACTCGAGTTGAACCTTGGTGTGAAAGTTGTCGCCTGCTGGCGTGGTGACCAGGTGATTTTGGCACCCAGGAGCACGTGACCGCTTCTTCAACCATGTTCGATTGGGAATAAAGGAGGAACGCTGCATCGCAGCCTTTTCGGACCAAAACCAGTCGACTCAGCGTCCAAAAGACTACAACATATGGGCCAATTGCGGTCATCCGTGCTTTTATAAGAACGAAATGGCGCTTTTAGTGACATTTTGCATACAAATCCCCATCTCGTAGGGCGCAGTCACCCAGTTTCGGTGGAAGTGCGCGAGTTCGATTGGGATTCAAGTAGGAAGGGAGCGTCTCAGCTTTCTCGGACCAAGACCATTCGACTCAGCACCCCGAAGACTACAACTGGTGAAATTTTAATTTTTGCCTTAACTTCCCCTTTAAAGCTGTGCGTCTCCCTCCCCTAGGTTTCAATTCACAAACAGCCGTCTGATGAGGGTGTTTTCAGACACGAAACTCCGAGAAACGGCAAGGAAGGACCCGGCTGCGCTGTCGCTGTTTGGGAATTGTATTGCTGGCTTTGTCCACTGGACATAAAGCAATATACAGTAAAACCTGGTGTAAGCGACCTCTGGGTTTAGCGACCAATTGCTCTTAACGACCGTTTTTCCATGCACCAACAGTTCTACACAGACACTGCGGGACCGGGTTCTAAAGACCACCTGGCTTAACCACCGCTTTTGCTCGCACCGTGGGGTGGTCGCTTAAACCGGGTTTTAGTGTACGCAGCCTGCGGATCTTAGGCACCTGTCCCATAGGTTTCATGTTGAAAGGTGGTTTGTTGGCTACAGGCATGCTGCTTGTCATTGCAGAAAAGTGACTTTTATATTAACGCTTGTTACTGTTAGCGGACATCGTTTCAATAAGTCGCCGTACAGAACCGTCATGCTCACAAGAACACAGTAGACTCCTTACATGTTTTATACTCTCAACTGTCGTGGACATGGAAATCCGGTCGAATGGCCGGGGTCAGTGTCCTCAGTGCGTACAGAGCGTTGCATGCACAGTGCACATGTTGATTGCATGCAGCCGCATGGCTGCATGGCCAGCGCACTGCGGCCGTTTGACCTCCGACTAGATTTCCATGTCCACGACCGTACATACATGCGATTTGCATCGTCAGCTGCGTTCACTTCGGCTGGGGGGTCAGAGTCAAAATGAATGTTTTAGGGACGGCAAAAAACTTGAGATGGCCCCAAACGTCACAGATTTTCACACTCTTCTCCAGGAACAGATTTAATTAAAGGGCGTAGCACATAATCACATGATTGAGCAAACGTTATAAATGTTAAAAAATTGTTTTACCTACAACTTGGTTATAATTGCATTTCGATGTGAGATCGTCCGACTCCAGGTCGAGGTGTGGGAAGGGGTTTGCCCTCTTTCTCACACTTCTCCTTGTACAGCTTCTCGAGCTCCAGCAGTCGATCACTCTTCTTCAACGGATGCGTGTGGAACTCAAACTGAGATGTCAGCAACGTTGAAGATTTGTCATTGGGTAGATCAGCATCTTCGAGTATTCTCAGAGGTTTAATTTCCACAAGACTGCCAACCATCTTCAATAGTTTGTTGCTTCGTGGACAGTTCTTCACCACTCCCCACGTGTTGACTTTCAGGTCCAATTTCAGGTAACGCAGGACTGCTCTCTTCTTGTTGGCGTCGAATTTGTTGGTTGGACTGCGAGTCACACGCACGGCCCACACAGCTGGGGCATGCTCGGCGCTGGGAATCTCCTTCTCGGCGTATTCCTTAGCATCATTCTTGATCACAGCAAGCCGAGTCAGGGCATAACGCAGGTGATCTCGGCTGAATAAGATATCCTGGCGAGGAGGTTTATTCCTTGGGGTCGGCATTATCGCCACATGCACAGCATACTCATTCAGTGATTCACTTCAAATCACTTCTTTCTTCAAAATATGAACAAAATTAATATTAAAACGTGCAATCATCAATCAAGATCGCAATCAATGATTTCTCCACAAAAATAACAGTTTGCGTTTTCTCAGGAGTTGATACGATTTTCAATAAACAATCGCGTTTTCTCGGGAGTTGATACGATTTTTAATGAACAATCGCCCAAAACCCCTCAACAAAACTCACTCTACGTAAGACCTAGGCTAGTGTAGCTCGTACTTTTTTCCCCTTCGTTGAACCTTCACTGCACTTCAGAAAACATTTTCCGTTGCACGCCACTGCGAGAATAGAAGGGAAGAAACTACTTGCTGTAGCACTAGCAGTGTTGGGCAAACTGCAAGAAGCGCGTCCAAGCTCTGAAAGGAGCCTCAGCTGAATTGTGCTCGACATCATCTTAGGAGGCACTGAAGGTGATTAGTGGTCATGCCGCCACCACCCAAGCCCGGGTTTGTGCCTGAGCCAGGCCGAAGTGACGATGAACACCGTCACTACAAGACGCAAAAAGGCAAAGAGCTGGTGGACAAAATCCTGGCCGAGCCTGATCCGTTGCGACGCGAGCAGCTGGAGAATGAGCTGGCGCAGCGTAATCCGCACCACTACGATGTGCCAGCGCAGCCGAACTGGCCACTGCATAACTGGCCGTACAAGGGACCCGAGTTCACGAAAGACATGATCCCGCAGTCGCATTTCATCGCCCGTCGTGGCCTGCCGCCGGAGAAGCAGTGCTACAAACGACCAACGTTCGCCGTGGATAAATACATGGCGATACACGAGGGCTGTGGTATGCACATGAAGTGGAATCCTCGCCGACGCTTGGGCTTCGCGGCGCTCACTCTCGGCCTGCCCCTGTTCTTCTTCCACTGGGTCAACTGGCTGTACTGGCAAAGAGACGCGCGGGCAGGTCGCATACCCAGAAACAATTCATTCTTGCACATCATCTCCGTCAAGGTCAAGCTTCCCAAGTTTTACGAATAGAGAAGACCACGTGACCATCTACAGTACAACAGTGTTTGCTGCCCTACGCAGCCTATGCATTCCGGGTGTGGGCACGGACGGCATGGCAGCAGAGATGTTGGTTACGGGGACACGCGTGTGAGCGTGGCTGCTGATCGTTCATTCGATTTCCGTGGGGCCGTGGAGAGGCTATTGCGTGTTATGCATGGAACATGCCGTGGGGGACTGGCTTGCTTGGCTGACCGGCCTGCTGTGGATTATTGCTGTCGCGCATAGGTGGTGTCGCGTGTACCCATGGCTGGCTGGCTGTCGCCGGCTAGCTTACGTGGTTGTTGTCGTGGGCGTTGGCGCACTAGCTGCAGAAAACATATTGTCAAGTATTAACGTTGCTGTTGTTGTTGTTGTTGTTGGCGGTGGTGATGGTGTGTGTACATTTTTATATGCGTCCGTGCGTGTAAGTCTACGCGCATGCTTGTGTGTGTGTGTGCGTAGGTATGTGCGTGTGTGTGTGTGCCGCTGCGCGTACATACGTGTGTGCGCGCGCGTGTGTATGTGTTTCGTTTCCCCAACCGGTGTTCCTCCAAGTTAGCGGGTGCCAACTGCGCCTTTTTTTTTTTAGACATTTGAATTGCAACCACAATTGTTGTTTGTTTCAATCATTTTGCCTTGAAGTATGTACATTGGAAGTTTTCCAGCTGTCAACTTAGCAATTACATGTAAGTTATCTATGATGATACCGATATATAATTTTTTTTAATTTCGCACGTTCGTCAGGTGCAGTCCACATGGATCCATTTCAAGTGATCGTGTGTGCGTGTGTGTGTGTGTGTGTGTGTGTGTGTGTGTGTTTGTATGTATGTGTGTGTGTGTGTGTGTGTGTGTGTGTGTGTGTGTGTGTGTGTGTGTGTGTGCATGCGTGTGTGTGAGGGGGTGGGGGTACATGGTGGTGTGATGTGTGGTAGAGACTATTGCGAATTAAGCTAGTAAGTAACCTCTTTCCGTTTAGCTCAAGCGCAGCAGAATATGGTGTGTTGGTGAATCACAACTGGGACCTGATGACTGAGCTAGTGTTGGTCATTCTGCAGGCTTTGGTCTTTCAAATTCATTGTCTCGCGTGCGCGCGCGTGGATATTGACAGACCAGTCGCTCTACTCTCGTATACTCGGCCGCTGGAGACAAACTTCCTTGCATGATCTGTGGACACTGTATACAAGATATACGGCCGCGTGGTAAGAAATACAGGGTCCCTGCTTCAAGCCCTGCAACCTGGAAAAGGAGAACGTTCTTTCATTTACCTCACTTTGAGCTCTTGGAAGAAGGCCAATGGTGTGGTGGCGCTACTGAAGTGGCTACACATGTCATACCATGGTCGCTAATTGAAACTGCGTGCATGTTTATGCTATCAGGAGTAAGAATGGTGTCCATGGTGATTGAGTGTGAGTATTGCTACGGGCAACAGGCTAGTCTCCCTCCTCCCCCCCCCCCCTCAAAATCTCTCTCTCTCTCTCTCTCTCTCTCTCTCTCTCTCTCTCTCTCTCTCTCTCTCGGTAAAAGCAGACAGTCAGGAATGGCATTGACCATCGTACGACAAACAAGTTAGCAAAAGGTTAACACGATACACATGTAAAAAAAAGTCACATCTCATACTGATAAGAAAAAAAGTATTTAAAAAAAACTTTGAAAAATCGACAAAGGCGAGCTTGGAAGATAGAAGAAATGAAGGGACTACAAGCAGTTCATGCCAATCGAGAAAGAGAAATCCGGAGACAGCGGGAATGGTGCAAATCCGCAGGGGAAACGCGATGAATTTGTTCACACAATACTATTCACTAAAATATCCACTACACCGTCATCCATTTAGGACTAGAAAGTAGAAGTACTAAAATACAAAAGCCGAAACAGCGCTAAACGAATGACTAAACGAAAAACTATACTGCTAGATCCTAATAGAGGTACATGCCTGATGTACCAAGCTGGTGTTCAAACAAAAAAAAAGAGGAAAATAAGAGCGCAAATTTACTCAACTTGCTGGTGGGGTTGGGTTGCAGAGGAAAACATGGCACTGAAAAATGCTGTCAAAAGTTATTTTTCTGAACACAAACAAACCTGTGGGGCTGGCGTCCAGCCATGCTTGCAGAGAAAGATAAGTGGAATGATCTATAAAACATATAGGGAGAAAGTCAATGCAGGGTGGGTGGGGTTAAAGACAGAGAGTGGGAGAGAGGCCGAGTCAGGAGCAGCAGGCAAAGCCACCTTCCCAACGTGGGAACAGAATCAATTAGCAGGTAGCACAGTCTTTTAAACTTGGCCTACACGTTATGTGCGGGTGATGAACATCTATGCGATTACTACCAATATCCTACATGTCCAGTACACAGGTAATGAACACCAGCGACATTACTACCAATAGTACTGTACATGTACCACCGTATGTTACACGCAGTTTTCAATTGTCCGTTAGCTCCAAAGCAGAAAATTAAACATTACTCATTACTCATATCAATCTCACTCTCCGGTGGGGTGGTGGCAGGTCAGGCAACCTGAGGCAATCAGCCATTTCGCCTGGGCAGCGTGGGCCCACCTTGGTGCACTTGAATCCTGCGCGTGTTCACGGCCAGTTCACTGCGCGTCGCTGTCCCCGGTGCTCTGCAGAAACAACATGGACCGTTCAACCAGCACACACAACAATCAGCTGGACCTGACTGGTGTTAGCACTACAGACCATTCATAAAAAGATGGGCCATAGGGGATTGCCAATTTTTTTAATTCAAAGTTTGATCCTTGAAGGGTGGCGGCGTTCCTACGAATGCGGAATACTCGGCCTCCAGCCGAGTCTGACGCGAACCGTGAATTTGTTTGACCCATTTACGGCCCAAAGCTAGATAGAAGTCCATCTTTTTTTATGAATGGACTGAAGGCTGGTAATTTGAAGGCAGAAGGCAGATGCAGGAGCCGTACTCTAGCAAGACCTAACACTGGTTGTAGGTGGTTCTCCGACACTAACGCCACAGGGATGAGCGTGTGTGGAGCATGTGCAGTTACATTATCATCAGGAATGGTGCTCTGAATACCTAGACTGGAACAGTGCTCTAAATACTAATACCCAGACTCACACAGAGCTCAATACCCAGACTCACACAGAGCTCAATACCCAGACTCACACAGAGCTCAATACCCAGACTCACACAGAGCTCAATACCCAAACTCACACAGAGCTCAATACCCACGCTCACACAGAGCTCAATATTCAGACTTTCTCTGCTCGCATACTGCTCAATGCCCAGAGGCAAAACTGTCTAACATAGAAGTTAGAAGGATTTTTCTGCTGCAACTCGGAGTTGCACACTAGACGAGCTTTTTGATTTGGAACTTGCCTTGTGGACGTTATGGCTGGAGCAGCGGTGAGACGTTTTCTCTGCTGATCCTCTAGAGCCTGGTGTCCAGGACCACGGCCAGTGAATACAAGTGCTTGGCCAGTTTGCCTATTGGCATCTGGTGATGTCAATTCACTGCCGTGTTCGTGGGGCGAAGAGGCCGCATGCTGATTGTCCGGGTATGAAGATGACGATGAGGATGATGTTGATGATGACTGGCGGAAGACGGCTGGTTGTACTGCAGCGCCCCTAGCAGCACCACCACCACCAGCAGCAGCAGCAGCAGCGTAGTCATACGCCGCACCTGCCGGTGGTGGCCTGGGATTGCTGAAATTGGCAGCGAGCGATATGGTGGCCGGCTGAGCGGGGATTCGCTCGCGAGGGCGGTGTAGCGAGGGCTGCTCAACCAACAATGGTGTCGATGACGGTCCAAACCGCTGATTGCTACTAGCTGGGAGAGATTGAGCCGGCAGGCCGGCCATTGGTCGGGTTGGCTGGCCGGACGTCTGTCGCTGCAGATACCGGTCGTGCGACGATTGGTGGGAAGGACGATCGTGGTAGCGACGTGTGCTAGCCAGTCCCACAAAGCTATCGCTGGCCCCGTCGCTAGAGTACTGCGAGTTGTACGACCGTAGCGGTGATCTAACGTGGCTGGGCGATTGCAACATATCTGAAGATGGTGTGCCGGCTGAGCTGGACGAACTGCTAGCACGTGAGAAGGACTCCGCCGGTGGTGGTGTCACACGATGGTTGGACGTGTTGGGTAAATTAGAGCCGCCCACGGGTGTTAGGAACGGACTAGCAAAGCGAGAGGATGTTGACGACGCCCCCGATCCGCTTGAAGATGGACTCAGCGGCGTTAAGTTAGACTGTTGCGGTGATCGTGTCTGACCGGCGCGGTACAGCTCCGATTGTAGAGGAGTACTCATTGACAAGGCAAACCGGTCTGCGGCATCGTCAAGACCAGGGGGTGGACCCCGGGCAAACGGTGGCCTGTTTGAACTAGACGGTGTCGACTCTACACAAATCACCCGGAACACACACGACACCCTCTGTTAACCCTAAGCCCACGGGAATGTGATGCAGAAATAGTTAAATACGCGTCGGTATCATGAAGAGTACATAGTACTACATACACACACAGAGTGTGCATCTGCCTGTACCACATCTATCCAGTGTTGTGGTGGTAGAGCTTCACATCACCTGACATGGTTGCATAAGATACACACTGGCAAACAGTGCAAAGCAACCAGCAGAGAGTTGAACCCAAGGCAGAGTTGCATTGCTACAGTCACACCTCGCTTATCCGGTCCTCTTTTATCCGGATCCCTCGCCATCCGGAAGAAAATCGTTGGTTACCGATTTACAGCATGTGCCATGCATACATACAGTACGTGTGTTCGATTATCCGGTTCCCTCGCCTATCCGGATATTTTTTGTGGAAAACGGATGTGTGCGGTTAAGCGAGGAGTGACTGTATCACGCACAGGGTGCAAATAGTGTGCACGGGTTTGTTACGTAATCGTATGCAGTCGCATATCCCACAAGTCGCATATCCCACAGACTGAAGTTGCACACTCTAGGAGTATATGTACTCTTGGTACGAGAATGTGTACTACTTTGGCTATTGCAAAGCATGCGCTAGGCGTCGACCTTCACCACAAGTTTGTATTTTGCCGTTTTCAAAACAATTTTTTTTCCGGCTGCTGTAGCTTCTTACCATATTCGTAGTACAAGCTTAGTGAAACCCTGCCAAGTTTACGTGTCCACACACTGGCAATGCATGCCTCGTACGGATTCATGATCTCCAGAAAAACTGACACTAACGAAAAAATTCTGCAGTGGGCCAAACCAAGCGGAGTTACACACTCTTGTTTATGTACTCTTGCCATTGACATGCATTTCAAAGCCAGAACTACAACCTCATGACTATTAAGGAGTAAATGTTGCTGTCAAAAGACATTGGTGATAGTTCTGAAATCAACCGAATGTCCCAATGGAACCATGGGAAGACTTCAATACAGCATCATGGTAGAGAAATGCTTGTACAGTAAGTATCGGTAATAGCGTGGGTGTTTGAAAAACGACTTTCTATTCTTATTTCCGATATTTCTTACACACAATAAATCAAGTGTGACATATCATGTGCATGTGCGCAGAGGCAGGAAGATCATCGTACATGCAAGGTAGTGCTACTGTGCATGCGGCTGGTCACAGTCACATAGGCTTACCATGTGGCTATGCAACATGAGTTACACGACCACAATAGTTGAACCTGCAGCACTAGGACCCAACGCGAGTCAGATCAGAACTGCTTTGGACGAATGTTATTACTACAGGCGATATACTTTGTACTGATCTGGCATATTTCGCTACACAAAGTCCATTCTTAGGACCGATATATTCTACTGTACGATAAAATTGCTTGTAAGAATAAATGTGCACATGAAATCCATGTTATGATTATGAAAACATGAGAGTTCATTCTTGTAGGCAGTATATTCGTTTACACGACCACGCTATAACCGATACGCACTGTACATGTATCAGCACACACCTCGTGGACTGGCGGTATAATGCACTTCAGAATTTGTGAGGCCCAATACAATATCCCCCCCCCCCCCCACACACACACACACGCACACTCGCCTGCCTTCCAAACCGGGGACACAATCACCCTGCTCATTGCATGTAAGTTTTAGTGCGCTTAGTTCACTAGCAGTTTACACAACAAACATACGGGTGGGCATGACCGATGACTCTTCTTCATCCGCATCGCGCACCCGTTTCGCCAGGCAGCCAGCCTGCAGGAACGAGAGCGACAATCAGATAGGAAACAGAATCTTATAATCCATCCCACAATGCCCACGTGGACAATACGATACAAGTCCTTTCTAAGGTCGTATGCCAAAACTCCAATGCTACTTCGACACCCAGGATAATTTTATCTCTCCCTCTCCCCTTCCGAAAGCTTTATTCACGAGCTTCGCCAAAGGCGTATGAAAGCTACACGTTCTTCCGTTCTCTGTTCCTGAGCCATGTCTATCCGGCAGACAAGACGTTTGGACACCGCCAAAGGTACTATGCCACAGATATTCTTCCATCACAACGTCCTAGTTATCACGTAGCGGGCGAGCAGCGACAATGCTTCAGGTTGTCAATATGTGTACGTCACACTTGAGAGAGTGCAATGCCCAGGCGTTATCAAGGGGTTACGTCACAGGTGAGAGGGGACTGAGTGCAATACCTGGACATTACGATGGGGTTACGTCACAAGTGAAAGGGGAGAGAGTGCAATGCCCGGGCGTTGTCAAGGGGTGTACATCATAGGTAAGCAGCGGCTGCAGTGTATCAAGAAAGACAACAGTGAAGCTAGGGCATGCAAGTGCATGCTTTCTCACTTGTCATTCCCGGTTCTAATGAACTTTCTTCAACTTCTGCGACAGGTGCCTTGCGACAGCTCGCGACAGGCATTTTCTTGTCGCGACTGTCGCAAATCGCGTGTCGCGTCGCAGAAAGTTGTATTGTGAAAGAACTCTGTACTGACAGTCTCAAAACCTTATCACTATGGGATTCCTCATTGGTAAATAATGTAGTGTTTGGCCTGCAAGCCATGCAGGAGTCCATTGCGGGACAAGACAAGGACTGATTCATTTACATGTACAACAAGCATGCGCATACATGAGAGAGAGATAATACGGAGAGAGACAATGCACAGAGAGACAATACGGAGAGAGACCACACGGAGAGGGACAATAAGGCGACAAACACTATACACTACATGCAGCATGTGCACATGTATATTATCTACAGATGTGATCTAAACTGCAACACACACGCACATACACATGTACCCCCCCCCCCCTCTACACACACACATACATACACACCATGTACCATGTACCATGTATACGCCCGTCGCAAGAGAAGCACGCAAATCTGCAAACGCACTGGATGTGCATCCACAGATTTTCTCTTATAGCAACGATAGCGAACAAGATCTGAATGAGACAGATCAAGATTTGCGCCAGATAACTGTCTAATCCACACAACTGGCGAAGCCATGTGAATCGACCACCAATGCACACCTGGTCTACACCACACGGAGTACATCGGCATAAAACGGCCAAGACAGTTACCTATGCACACCCTACACTTGCTGGGGTAACCAGTATAGACAGCACGCTGCTTTGATAGAAGCAGACACTAGATGCACTGTTACCTTGAAGTGAAATTGGAGTTACTTTACCAACCAGCCTCGGCTACTGAATACTGGGAACCCAGAGCCAACAGACATACCAACAACCTCAGTCATGAAAGCTATTATAGTAACGACACACTGGACCGTGGAGCATACACACACACACACACGCACACACACACACACACACACACACACACGCACGCACACAGAGTTGCTATTGCATAACAGTGCACACACCTCATGGGGATGGATTGTAGACATCAAGAAAGGACGTTTGCAGTGCTCACAAGGTACCCGAGCACCCGCGATGCTCTCTAAATGATTGGATCTTGCCAAGGATTGCTGAGATGATGAGGATGGAGTTTCTTGAGGTGACGATGCTGGTTAGAATCAAAATAATAAAATGCATACACACACACACACACACACACACACACACACACACACACACACATACACACACACACACACACACACACACACACACACACACACACACACACACATACACACACACACACACACACACACACACATCATGTACCGTATGCACACATGTAGGCTCCACAATCAGGCACATTGCATTAAAACATATTATGCCGAGTCGTCTGGCAGGGCACAAACAAGTGAACATGGCCGACTCTGGACGAGTGCATACTTTCGACTAGGAACAAACAGCGAACGGAATATCCCAGCATCTTTGCATCAACATCACCCGACTCAGGCGACTCCACAAAATGAAGGTACACTCATATCTCGCTTTACCGGGCGGTCCAGGACCGGCCACTGCCCGTAACTTTGAAATGTCCCTAACTCTGAATCGCATACCGAATAATACCGGTTGTAAGTCGACCCCGGTTATAGGTCGACCCCCGTATCCGGAGGTCTCAATTCTGATTTTTAAAGTTATCACCCAACGAAGCACTACTAACCACTCCCTGCTACTAACATATCAACAAACCATGTAAACATTCCTTATTGGAGGGTATAACGTACCACTCCTTGAAAAAAATGCCAATAAACTGGCCAAAATGTGCACACATGGTGCACTCGTGCATGCAGTACAGGTCATTTTTTACGATACTGATAGTTCCCGGTTATAAGTCGAATCCTGGTTGTAAGTCGACCCTCACCCTTTCTCCTTCTGTTTTTAGTCGTAAAAGGTCGACTTAAAACCGGAAAAATACGGTACGTTTCAATGGGGGAAAGGGCAGAGATCTGGCTTATGACGAAACTCTTTTCACAAAAATTACCGAAAGAGTAGAAATATTTCCACTAAAATGCACCCAAAAGCACTGGAGTAGAAATATATCCATTAAAACGCACCCAAAGGCACTTGAGTAGAAATATATCCACTAAAACGCACCCAAAGGCACTTGAGTAGAAATATTTTCACTAAAACGCACCCAAAGGCACTTGAGTAGAAATATTTCCACTAAAACGCACCCAAAAGCACCTCGGTGCCGGTAACTAAACTTTCCAGCTTTGGTTCAATTTGTAGATGATTGGCAAAGATAGGAGCTTTTGAAGTTTTCATACCGAGAAGAAAGACACACTTCAGACTCTTGAGCTTTTTTCTATTTTCAGGCAGTTCACTTCCCCGACTGATCCTTTTGAATTTGAAGTTCTCACCATCCATTCAGAAGATAGGAGCAGAAGTGTTCTTCATTTGAACGTCAGCGAAGTTCTCATACTTTCATCTGGGTCCCAACGGGTTCATACAGGTAACAATACCAGTAATAGTAAGTTCATGGGGTGATCATGGGGTGATCATGGGGTGATCATGGGGTGATCATGGGGTGATCATGGGGTGATCATGGGGTGATCATGGGGTGTTCATGGGGTGATCATGGGGTGATCATGGGGTGATCATGGGGTGTTCATGGGGTGATCATGGGGTGATCATGGGGTGATCATGGGGTGATCATGGGGTGATCATGGGGTGTTCATGGGGTGATCATGGGGTGATCATGGGGTGATCATGGGGTGATCATGGGGTGATCATGGGGTGATTATGGGGTGATCATGGGGTGATCATGGGGTGATCATGGGGTGATCATGGGGTGATCATGGGGTGATCATGGGGTGATCATGGGGTGTTCATGGGGTGATCATGGGGTGATCATGGGGTGATCCTAGAGGGTGCTGGCATACTTTAGAGTACTTTAATTTCAGAAATTTTAGGTGCTCAATATTTTCGGCATGAGGGCAAAAGGCCAGGATAGGTGAACAGAAAATTTAGGTACAGAGAAGCAGTCCCCTATTGGATTATGTGTGTTAGTGTTTGTTCGGTGTATTGACATTAATTTTTAGGTATGGAACAGATGCACCGAAAGTACCGAAAATAAAAGTACACCAAAAATTTGTGAAAATACAGTAATTGAGAGGCTGGTGGCGTTCCTGCGGCGGATGCGGAAAACGCGGCCCACAGCCGAGTCTCACGCGAACCGTGATTTTTTCATGCGGTGAAATGCACCAGGGGGGGGGGGGGGGCACACTGGCACAGCACACATACCGGATAGTGAAATGCACCGGGGGGGGGGGGGGGGGGGGGACCCACACTGGCACAGCACACATACCGGATAGTGAAATGCACCAGGGGGGACCCACACTGGCACAGCACACAT